TATACAAAGATATTCTTCACTCTAAAATAAATATTTTGTGATGCACGATATGCTAATCGATGATAACATTGATGTATAATTTTAAGTAAAGTGTCATTCACACAACAGATTCACTTTAGTGACTAATTTCGAATAATGTGGTGACCATAGGCCACATAAAAAATGTATGGATCATAGAAAGTTTTCATTCAGATATTCATTTTCGTTCAAATGGAAGATTTAGAATGGAGGATATATTTAGTGACGGCACACCAAATGATCCATTCAAATTAAGCGTCTGTTCACGTATTTGACACAAAACTGATTGAAGCTCACCATAGACAAAATGCGAGATAATCATTTGACAGATGGATCATTCAAAAGAATATTCTATATAAATATTCATTCCATACGAACTAAAAGTACCACAGGCATGACAAGAGCAGAAGTCGTCGAATAGATGAACGATTCATAGAAATAATCTATTCGTATATTCTTCTGATATCAAATCAAAATCATAAGTTTTGATCAGACTTGTTTATGCATAAAACTGGTATGCTTTACACGAAGCTTTCATTCAGGTATGTAATTCACTTTGAAATAACATTTTCGTTTTAAAATCTTGTTGAGTAATTCGAAAAATAAGAACATGATAAACAATAGCTCTATTCAAATTTTCAATCACTTGAAATTATTAGCATGAAACGTGAGATATGATAAAACAGTAGAGGACTTATAAACGATAGTAAGGTTCAATTCATGTATTCTGGTTATTATCGTTCAGTATATCGCGATTCAATCGATATATCTAATTTCGTCGCAAATGCATGATTTTGACCTCTAGTTTGAATTTCACTTTTCTTCGCCAATAATTTCAAAAGATCCCGTAGACGGAACTTCAATTCTTCATTACTCAGATCATCGTCTAGCTCTCGTAAGTATGTCCACTCCGTGTTGCATGGGATTATCATGGAACCGATCAGCATAACGAAAACCAGTTTTGTTGCGCTAGCCATCTTTGACCAGTTATTCCTAATGAAGTATGAATACTTGTGGGTACCGTCTAGTTTGTTAAATATGAAATGTAATGATGGTGTAGATACTATCTTGTCTTTAAATATCCAATATTGGAAGAACGAAAGAAACTTATAAAATATATTCATTACTCTTTTTCTTTTTGTTGACGCACATCAATCGGCCATGACTATTAAGCCCTTCCATTACAAGGGGTCTATAATTTGGCGTAGCGATAAAACGAAAAATAAGTAGCAAAACAAAAAATCACTCTCTCATTACACAGACGTTTTTTCTCTATATACAAAGAAGTGCACAAATATTTTTTTGTCAGGTTTGTGTACGAACAAATTATATCACGATTTTCATCGATTCAAAATCATGATAGACAAACATGACTCAATTCTATCTCTTAAAAGGCGACAGACACAAGCTTCTTGAATATTATTCTTTTTCTTTTCTTCTTTGCTGCAAACGATTAGTCGATCAAGTCTATTGCTTATTTGCATTACAAGGGGTTCGCAATTTACCTTAGAGATAACAAAAAAATAAATCATAAAGCAAAACAATCTCTCTCTCTTTACAAACACATTTTTTCTCTGCATCAACGAACACGCAAAAAATTTTTTTTTCTACCAAGGGTCTTCTCTATTTACCATTAATTTGCAACGTGTTCTTTATCTTGCCATTGAAATGAGTGTCGTCATTCATTTATATATAGTGTAAGCCATTATTCTACGTTGCACACATGCATGCGCCGAACAAAAAAATATACTACAGTGAACAACGTGACAGTCCTTCAATGTATGACGAAAAGAAAAAAAAAATTTTCATCATCATAAATGATACATTCGTAACGATCATATTTCTTTTCATTTTTTTATCATCTATTTTTCATTTTAGCTTTCACTTAGTTTTTATTCACTACATGAAAGTCATCATGTGATACAAAACAATAATATAAAAAACACTGAAAAAAAATTATGAGGATGATAAAAATAATTTTAATGATAAATCACAAAAAATCTAAAGTTTTCGAGTGTATAGATTCGTTATCACTGCTGCATAATATGCGTGTGTTTATGTATAGAAGTGCCTTCTATTCTAAGCATTATTTCATACCAAAATTTATACTACTTTTAGAATATAAATGAAAAACAAAAGATTATGAATCACACGTGCTTTTTTAATTCTCATTATGAATCATGATAAATTCATTTTAAATTTTAAATTTGGTTAAAGAATAATGTACATTGTATTGGTTTTCAAAATAGAAGTAAAACTGTTTTTGTATTCATCTATAATCTTTTGAAATTAATTCAGTTTTATTTTAGACATTATAAAATCTTATTGATTTTATTTTATTGTCTTTTCTATTTCGTCGATTATTATTTTTAATTCTTTTTTTATTTATTTTAACTCAAACGACCGATATTTTCTTTTTATCAATTTAAATCAATGTGATACAAAACTAATTCCATTTATTATAAATATTTCAATTTGTTTTAGTTAATTAAAGTTAATCTGATGCGATTATATATTTATAACAAATATAATATGAAGTGAATTGAATGGAACTATATTTGTTTTATTTTATTTTAATTAAAATAATTTTAATCTGATAAAATTATTGTGTTTATATTTTATTCTAAAACAAAATGAGTTAAACTCCTAGCATTGTTTAATTTATATTATAACGAAGCGAATTAATCTGATATAATTTCTTTATTTTATGTTAATTAAAGTAAAATTAATGTATTAGAGTTATTACTTTACGTTTAAAATAATCTGCAATAATTTAGTTTAGAAATAAGTTATTTTTGAATTAAAATTACACTTACTACTTTATTTTAGGTTAGTTTTATGGCCGAATCGAATCGAAGCGAATTAAGTGTTTTAATTACAGCTATTTATTTTTTATTTTAGGTCATATTAATAAGGATTTAATATAAGTAAGCTTTTTTAATTTAAATTATTTATTGTTTTATTTAGATCATTGAGTCGATCAAAGTCAAAAAAGAATTTTTTTTTCTGTAACTTTTCCAAGTGAGCGAAAAATAAGTGAAGACGGCTGACAAGACTAGTCTGAAATGTCCGTAATGCCCGTCATGTCTAGTCTAAAACGTCTTACACCCTCGTCATGACTAGTCATCTTTAGAAGAAATGTCCTTTAATCATGTCTGGACTAGTCCAGAAAGTCTTTGAATTCCGTCATGTCCAGACTAGTCTGTAGAACAGAAAAATAATAAAAAAAGGAGACGAAAAATGGATTCGAACCTTCGACCCGACAGTATTCAATATCTGACGGGTGTCCTGACGACAGACCATGACATAGCGATAGACATGACGTCAGTTTAAACATTCTGACTAGCAGAGTGGCACGCGTATATCTACTAGGCGAATTGAGACGCGTTGAAGACAAGCAACTTGACTAGTGTGGAATGTCTTCAATGGTGGTCAGGACTAGTCTAATGTGTCATCTATCCAAGTCAAGCCTAGTCCACTTTTTTGAGAATGTTATGTCAATTCTTGTCCACACTAGTCTAAAAATCCCAGATAATTTATTTTGCTTGAGCTAAACTGTGCTGCTACTTCGTTGAAACTGCTCCATGATGAGCAGAAAAAGAAGTAGAATGCAAGGCAAAGAATTTTTTTTATATCTATATTATGGTTAAAAATAACCGATGAATAATTGGACACATTCACAATATGCATCAGATATGAGAATGAGAAACATTTGGCCACTTATCTTCTATTAACAACTTCATGATTGTTGGTTAAGTATGATTTCTCATATTATGATTACGACAAATTAATTGCAATTATTCAATTTTTATTAATACATATGTAGACTCTCACTTGCGTCGTTGATTTCTTTTTGAATTAGAGTGGCGATTAGAAAGTCCTCCAGAACCATTACTGAAGTGAAGGATAGAAAGAATGTTCTGTACATCCATATTTTAATATAACTCATCATTTTTTATAGTTTCGTTTATAAAAAAATTTAAAAGTATATTGAAACATAAAATAGTAGAAATACAAAATATAATGTTTATCTCGCAGGGAGAAGTTCCAATTTACGTAGTTTAAAATTTATTAAGTGTGGAAAATAAATTAAAATTAATTTAATTTGAAGATAGTTTGAATAGTTTACGCCCAATTTTACTTTATTTCATTTTATTTAAAATATAAATTTTGACGATTTAAATTTAAGAATTTATTTAAAAACGACACTAATTTAGTTTAGTTTTAAGTTTGAAATGTGCAATTTAAATTTAAATTTAAACTTAAATTATAATATTAAAAAATTTAGGTTTTTTTTCATTTTAAATAATTTTTTTAATTTTTTTGCCATTTAATTTTTTTTTAATATAATTAACTGTTTCTAGTTGATAATAATCAGAAGAAATTCTTCTGGAGAATTTATTAAAAAAATTGAAACTTATTTCGTTCAACATTGTCTAAATAATTTTATATCCTCTAACAAATAAATTTTTATTGAAATGATAGCTTGAAAAACTTTAAAATTGTATTACATAGCACCTTAGAAAGACTATAAACATGTAGAAGTTGATCGCTTGATCATATGGTTCAATTGTCTAAACGATGGGTAAGTATCATATTGTATGCATGTTCGAATCTACCCTTCATCCTTGCATATTTTAATTTAGACTCGTCTGGACCCGTCCACTACATAAGAGTACAACTCCTCCCACGCACCGTCCGTGACGTCCTTACTTTTTCAATTTTCAACCGCTTTCGGACGGGAGTCAGGTCGTCCCGCCCTGATGAGTCTTTCTCAAAGAAAAGACTAGACTAGGCACGTATAATGTCGCCCGTCAATCATGTGATTTAGACGGGGCTTGATGACGGTCAAAATTTCGGACTAGTCATGTTACAGTCGAATTTGAGAAAAAGACCGGGCATGACGCGTCGACATGACTAGAAAAAAGACGAGTCATTTAGCCCGTCTTTTGCTCACTTGGGAGGTGGTCCTCTTCATCATCATGAAAATCGGTATGATTTGAAGAAAACTAAGTTGAATATTTCAATTTTCAATTTCTTTTTCTGCAGCTATCACATCAGTATCCGAAAAGACTTTATATAAATCTGAAAAGAAAAGAAATTACGAAGAGAAAAAATGTCAATCAATGCATACAAAAAAATAAAAAATAGACTAGAATCGGATCATCGTTTAAATATAATTTTTAAGCTAAAAATACATTTAAAATCTCACTTGCAAAATGTACAATATATACTCTGCTTTTTAAGACAAGTGTACAACAGCGTGTATTTTCAAAGCTGCAAATGTTTGTACATTTTGCTTCTGCCGTGTACACTTGTTATTAGAAACTCTGCGCAAGAACAAAAGAAAATAGTAGTTAGTGAACAAAATGAAGATGATAGTGATGATGAAAACGAGGAAAAAAGTAAGAGAGTTATTTTATTTTTGTATCAAATGAAGAAATTTTCTAGATCAACCAGTATTGAATAAGGATGATCAAGAAAAGATAAATGATGATCTTCTTTATGATCCTGTTGAAGAAGAAGAAGATGATGATGAAAAACGAATGAGAAATGAACGTCTCAAGTAGATAGATTCTTTTTCTTTTTATGTTGAAATTACTCTATTTAGATCTCGAGAAATTAACATCACACAAAAACCAGATGCATCATCACTTCGACCAACTGATGCAGTTCTCATTTGTCCTGGTTGTATGTTATTAGTTTGTCACGATTGTCAAAGGTAATCTAATAGAAGACTTTTCTTTATTCTTTTCTAAACTTCATTTTTTTTACTAAATAGACATGAAACAAATCGAAATCAATATCGAGCAATGTTTGTCTTTAATTGTACAATTGATGAAAATCGTATTGTTCATGTGTCGAAAACTAACAGTCAAAAATCATTAAAACAAAAGAAAAAGAATAGTAATAAACGATTTAAAAGATATGATCCGGAACCTGTAAATACGAAAAAAGAACAAGAAGTTCAAGACGATATATTAAGACCTATTTTATGTAGTGAATGTGGAATAGAATTACATGGTTATGAATCGAAAGAAGAATTGTATCATTTTGCTAATGTACTTGCTAGCCATTAATTCATTTATTTGTTGTTGTTAATATAAACTCGCGAATAAAAACAAACATTTTTTCATATATATATCGAGCATTTTATATGCACAATCAACAAAATAGTAAATTTTCATTATTCGAGATCACTATAGATATAACAGAAAAAGGGTAAGGCTGTTTATGCAATTGTTTGTTACAAAAGAAAAGCTAATAACTATTACATAAGGAAAAAGACATTTCTGTTTTATGAATTTGTATTAATCAAAGTAATATATCATTTCAAAGTTCATTTTGTTCGTCTGTCGATAACTAGCAAGCAGTTTGTTTTCGTAAATATGTTCTATCATGATTAATTGATATTTTAAAATAGGCATGTTCTATGCAATGTTTCAATTTATTGAATACTTTTATTGGAACAAAAAGTCCTATTTTGAGTACTGGTGAATTTGACAATAGCGCAATCTCACGAAAAATCGAAGCATTTTTAGTGTTAAATCACGGTTAAATGCTATGATGAGAATTAATTATCGGATTAGTAAAATTATAGTCAATTGCTGATTTTAATTACATGGGAAGCTACGATAAAAACAACACTTAGAATTGTTAAAACCAACGGTATAGCGCACTTCACCGTCAAAGGTTAACACCTAACCAATAAGACTGGTAATGATGAGATTTCAATCTTGAAATCTAATAAAGTCTTTGAGTTACAGCTTTTAATATACCATATGATGCAAAAGTTATATGAAAAATGTTGACTCTCATGAGTGTGTATAAGAAGAGTGCTGAAAAACAGCCTATATTGACAAGAAAGAGAATTTTTTCATTTTTCGTATCATACACAACTTATTTGTGTTGCACATTCATCAACAACAAAGGAAAAGGGTGTAATAATAAAGTGCAGCACCTCAAAATGAGTTTGGCTTTTTCTTGTAAACTACAGTCCAATGTATGAATCCTTACATCTCTTCAATAAACATATTCTGAAACGAGTAAGTGAGCATTTTAGTACAAGGGTTCTAAAATTAGCACAGAAAATGATGGTTCAACGATAGTAAATTTCGTTTCTCTCAGTCCAGGAACTAACTTTAAAAAATCCGTTCGGACAAAAGTTTACTAATGATCAAGACCTTTCAAACAAAACTATGTTCTGAGAAAAATTCTATATATTTTTTTCTGGAACTATTTTCAAGCGTGTAACAGGTGCAGTAAAACTAATACCATATAATATGCTGATTAATATTAAAATATTCTATTCAATAATGATTCAAGATGCAATGAAATTTTTTCAAAATTGAAGAACTTTAAAAAAACTACGAAATTTTCTCGGAAAATATGGTAATGTAGTTAAAGTTTGACTTGATAAATCTTTGAAAATCGAATCATTTTTTAAAAAAATGTCTATATTCTGAAAGAGGAAGTCTCGTTGTATCTTCCTATAGTAAAAACACAATTTTGATATTTTATGAAAAATTCGATTTTTTGATGGAGAAGATCCCCTTAAATATTATGTTTTGAGAAGTTATTTAAATAATTTTTGAATGAAAATTGTTACCGATACAACAATAAGCATAGTTTGATTTCATTAGTAAGTATGGTTCGTGATATAGTTGTAAGAAATAATTATCGAACAAAAAGCCAGTGCAATCTTTAAATGATACTCATTAGAATCTGATACTAATCAGTTTCTATTTGATAATTATATTGTACATTTAAACGAAGGAACTTTCTCGACAGAAAATTCTATTCGAAAAATACCAAATTTTGCGGATCCAAGGCAATATGATATTGAACAAGGATTGATCACTTTTACAAACGAGATTACCGTTTCTCATATAACAACATTAGTTGATAGTATGAATATTGGTGTTGATTCAGAATATTTAAGATTTTATCTGAAAAACTTAGTTTTTTCCGTATTCTTGTTCTAGATTTGATTTCGAATTACAATATAAAGAAAGAAAATTTTGCAAAAAAAACATTGACTTTTATTGAACTTTTGCAGTCTTATCAATTCTTCTTTACAGATATATTTGATGAATTCATTGTGCTGCAATTCTATATATCAGAGAGAAATATATTAATGTAATCAGCTAATTTTCAATGTTATCTGTTTTAAAAGCAGTCGTACTGTATAAAACTACAGTCGATCATATTCAAAAAAGATAATTATTCTTATATCGACATTTGATAAAAGATACAGAATAATTTGATAGATAAAGAAACAAAATATAAACATATAGCATTTCACTCAACGAAAAAATTAATCGAAGAACAGAAAGCCATATACTGGTACCCTATGATATTATATAATAAATTTTTATTATAAAAGTATATTCGTAATCAATGAAAAGGAAGATATATAAATTTACAGTTCATTTTCCTATTGTTAAATGCCATTTTTTTTTAATGTTGACCAAAGAACCAAAACTAATCTTCCACTTATTTCATTATTGTACTTAGTTGAGTCAAGACAAAGATAATATTCTTGACATTAGTAAATAAATTAATTATACTCTTGAAATTAATCTAATAATTATCATTGAAGTAGAATTTGTATTTACTAAACTTGAATTTTATTCAGTTATGTTGCAACAATAATTGATAAATAATGATACACGAATATGTCTTATTCTGTGCTTTTTTTCGATCAAAAAATTATTTTTTAGATGACAAGTTCAGCATCTTCGAAATTTGATGATAATGATATTAATGATGATGAATTGCTTGCCGTCTATGATAGATTATGTTCCTTTGAAAACACTAGATCCAGCTGTTCCGATAGGTAGTTGTCAAAAACAAGATACTTATCAAATTAAATATTCTGTTCTTTTTTCCTAATAGTCGAAGTAGTCTCATTCGGATTTCCATTCGAACGATATCAAATTTAAATTGACTTTATGCATGGTCTTTATTCAACAACGTAAACATGGGATTTTTCAATCACCTACTGGCACTGTAAAAATTATTGTTTATTATTAGTTGTTCAATTTTCTTCTTAATGTATTACAGAGTAAAAGTTTAAGTTTAATATGTGGTTCACTTCGATGATTATTTGATGAAATACAATCATAGAAAGATGAATACGAAGAATTACTAAAATCAATTGAAACTAAAAATGAAAATGAGATTGACAAATAAAATATTATTTTGATTGTTTAAGTGATATTATTTCAGTTCGGATGATTGATTAAAACGGTTAATGAAACGTGAAGAAGAAGAAAATACAAGAGAAAAAAGACGAGTATGTCTAATAGAATTTACCTTTTCTTATCTAATAAGAGAAGTCTTTCAACTGTTAAAACATTAGATGCATTCTGCAGATCCAAATCAGCGATAAGTACTCTGAAAGTCTCAAGAACAACGTAAAAAAAAAACTAATTTTCAAACTTCAACTCGAAACTTTCCATGGAGACAGTCTTGAACAAAAGTAATTTTTTCATCTTTTGATTTACTTCTATCCTGAAATAAGAACACCGAATCTGTTAGGTCATATATACGATATACAAGACACACTATTACTGTAGTTGTATTTTAAGATAGCAACAACAACAAGATTTAAATTAACATTCACAAATAAAAATATTCATGCTAAGACAAATCTCTATGTATAGTTACAAGTTGTAATTCGAAAAACAGTTTTTCTGCTGTTTTTTCTAAGTGGGATGACAACATTGATTTAATTAATTCCATAAAAGAGCAATATCTTTGACTGAAATGCTATTGAGCAATTGGGAGATTTCTTTAGAAAGAAAATACTTCTTTATGAAAGTATAACAATAGTTTTATATCTATCAATCTTATTTCTTATTAGGAAGAATTAAAAGCGAAAATTGATCTAGAAGAACAATATGCAAATGCTGCGAAGAATATATTAACAGTTATAATATCAAAGAAAACAGTAAATTTAGTATTTTACAAACTTATTTTTAATGTCTAATTTAATATAGAAACGAGATTTTGATGCAAAATATCAAGATTTATTTAATGGTGAAATACTTTCAAAAACTTGATAGTGATGATTCCTCTGTATCAAAAGATCAATTTAAAATTGATAATGATGATGAATTAAGGTATTGACAATCAAACTATTAATCTATTAAAATGTTCTTTTTATTTTGGTGATGAGGAATTAATTATAAAAGATGATAATCGTAAAATATTATTTGATGATACTAATTCACCAACAAAAGTTGATTCAACAGGTTTACGAGGAAAAAAAGCTCATGTCCAGTAAGTAAAATATTCTTTCTGAAAAATTTATCAAAAACAAAACAAAAGTTTTCTTTTATTTAAGATTCATCTTTTGCACTCATATACATTCACAAATATCACAATTTATTGGTGAAATTCAAAAAACAAAATATGTTGATCAATTACGTTTAGTTAGCACCTGGATCAGGTCAAGTATTGATTTTTTAAATATTATTTCCAATAGTTAGTTATTTAATTCTTTAGAATTTATGTAATAATCAATCGATACTTAAATTGAAATCATTAACATTGATTAATGAAAAATGTTTTGATTTATAAAAGCAAAAAAAAAATATTTTAAATAGATCTTTTTATTTAATGTTACGTCAATAATAATTTATTTTAGAAAAAACAACTTGTGATTGTTCATTTCTACAACATGATCGAGTTGAATGTTTATCTAATGATATGCTTCTACATTTAAAACAATACATATAATTTCATTTCATTCTAATTATTTAGACACTGGTTCAGTAAGAATTTTTAATACGTATTAATTTAGCTTTAATTATATCTAAAATAATTCTTATTACGAAAGAATTTAAAAAAAGAGTAAACATTTCGTCATCCGAGCTTCAGCTTTGTGATTATTCCAATCATAAATCAATTTATTATATTCACAGTAACATTTTCTAATATAGAAAAAACACATCAAGATAAATAAGATGAAATGCATAGAAATAAAATTTGTAATTATTGCAACGTAATGAATAAATAGAGTTTCACCATTACTTGATAGCATCTGTTTCTCTTACTTGATAGACAGTACTTCATTATCTTAATACAGTTGTCATTTTTCTACATGATTATGATGAGTCCTTTGATGAAACACATTCACTAGGAATAGGTAATGGAGAAACTATCTTTTCTGTTGATATTTTGTTATTTATTTCACAAAACTATTTTTTGTTGACAAACATGGTTTTAATCCCCGTATAAAAAGTCTTGATACAAAAATTTTGTTCGATTTTCGAATACTTATAGATTGCAGGACAGACTCAAAAGTAGTCAGTTAGAAAGAGAATTTCTTGCCCTTTCTAAATGATATATTCAAAATTTTATTCTAACTTGAACTTAATTGACTAAGAGCAGAAATTTAATGGCGACCAAAAAAACAACATTTGTACAGGATATTCTATGTAGTCTATTTTTCTATTTGAGTTAAAAATGCTTCAGTTCGAATTGAACGAAAGAGATTTTATAGACCAGTTTGCAGAATGAAGTTTGCACTACAAAATGCTCAATTTATTTTGCTTCGAACATATTATTGCAAACCATTAAAATTCCATGCATGTCCAACAGTACAATACGGAATAAACGATTATTTTGAAAAATGTTATTTCATAGAAAGAGTAGCATTCCGAAAAGTATTTGTTAACTTTGGATTCTTTTGAGGTCGAGTTTATTGTATCTCAATTGTAATTCTCTACAACAATAGGAGATAAAAATTATCCCATAATACTTTTAGTGAAATTACGAACGAGAGGAAAAAACGCGCGTTTTAGATGTTGCAAATGGCTTTTTATTTATTCAAATATTTGCTGACAGCTGACTAGATAAGAATCAGAGCAAAATTCTAAAGATATGTTTAGAAAGACCATCGAATTCTGTTTCTAACTGATTTTTTTAGATTCTTTTCGATTATATTTAAATGATCGAAAAAGCAGCAAACATATTTATCATTACCTTTGAAACTAGTCTTTTGTACAAATGTCCTTTTTGATCCCTATCAAATATTTGCTGCTAATGAATCAAGTTCAAGTCAGAATAAAATTCTGAATATATCATTTAGAAAAGGCAAGAAATTCTCTTTCTAGCTGACTAGTTTTGAGTCTGTTCTGCAATTTATAAGTGTTCGAAAATCGAACAAAATCTTTGTACCAAGACTTTTTACACAAGAGTTATCTGCTTTCTGTTGTTAATCACGTTCTTTTTTCGATAAATATTTCTTTCTAATAGTTTTTCTTAACCTGTATGTATGTGAATAATGCAAAAGACAAAACCATATATCGTACCAAATAATGCAAACTTAGAGTGTCTCTTATATTTTTCGATCTTTTTCTTATAATAATATATCATTTCTGTTTTAAAGTGATGTGCAAGATATTGAAGATGTTGTTAAACTTGCCCGTGAATTAAATACATGTCCTTATTATGCAACACGAGCAGCTATTGCAGTTGCTCATTTAGTTGTTTTACCCTATCAAATTTTAATGCATAAATCAAGACGAGAAGCATATGGTATTGAAATGCGTAATAATGTTATAATCATTGATGAAGCACATAATTTACCGGATGCTATATGTGCTATGCATTCAAATGAAATCAATGGAAATCAAGTATGTTAAATAAAACAAAATGAAAAAATTTCAGGTTTGAAATTCTATTAAAATCTAGTTAATTGATTCCTATGGTCAATTATCGCGTTATCATGAAGGGTGTGTGTGGGTGTGGGTGTAGGCAATCATTCATACACCCACACCCACCCACCCACACCCACACCCACCCACCCACACCCACACCCACCCACCCACACCCACACCCACCCACCCACACCCACACCCACACCCTGTATATTTGATATTGATGGAATAATTCATCGGGCTCAGCGTACATACTATATGAGCACATACTATTCTCTTTACAATCATTAATTTTGTTGGTCGATAGGCCTTCTAATGATTATTGATCATCTTGTTCACCAATCATTTTATGTTTTTTTTTATGCACTATAGGCACTGTTATTTATCATAAATTTTCGAATATAAAAACAACAGTGAAGAGATACTTTCTCATATTCCACAACAGAATTAGATAAATTCGGTATCAAGTAAGTAAACAAACACTCTCATGGCAATGAGAAATAGTAGTATGTTGATTTTTTTTAATTGAAAGATTTCGATCTTTCTCATGATCAAATAGCAAAATAATGATTTTCTCTTGAGTTTTGTTTACGATTCAATATGAAATAATTCTGAAACTTGTTAATACCTTATCATATATATGATTTTTTTTTATTTGCTTTAGAAAAGGAAAATTTCAAATTATTCATCTTTTCAAAATGCATTCATTTTGTAACAAATGTAAAGAACAAAATCAAGATTGTAATTTTCAACAGCGTACACTATTGGAGTTTGCTCTTATCATCGTAAAGGTTAATAACAATATACTTACTTGTTCTCATTGTACTCATCCTGTAGATGATCATTTCAATTATAGTAAGTACATCTTATGAATTTAAACTTTAAGAATTTTATGAATATTAAATAATTAAAAAATTTCAAATTTTACAATAATTTCAATATATAAAAAAATATTAGGATATTCTGTAATAAGTATCTCATATACCTAATTTTACAATGAATGAAAAGCATGTCTACATCCTTGCTCATGCCATTTCATAGAGTGAAATCTCTAGTGAATTATATAAAAACTTTTCCTTTCAACGAAATTATAAGACATTCTGCATGATATGCAATAAATCATTTGCTAGACTATTAGGTTGTTAGATCAATTTAAGCACAATTGTGCAAGTCGTATTCATCTCCGACATTTTATTAAATCATAAATAATTAATTTGACGCTGCCAAAAACAATGTGATGTTAATATGTAAAGACTCTTTCACAATTGAATAGAGTCAATGCCTTGACAACATATACATATATTGTATGTGTAGGACCTACCCTTTGTAGTGTGTTAAATAGGAGAACAATCAACAAATAGCCTAAATGACTTTTAGTAGTTTATTTTATCGTTGACATATCTATGAGTATGTGAGGTAGAATTCATTGTAGTGTGATTAAATTCAAGCATAACAATAGTTCAACCTAGACAGTTGAATAGTATATATCTTATAAAAGTTGACTGAACTTTCATCATATGAAGGCTTCGATAAGTTATTTCCATCTGTAATCATGAACACAATTTATGTTTTATTTGAAAGTGTCCGATGTGTAGAAACTGATTTATTTAAACTAAATAACTGTTGATAAAGCAACTGGAATTCGTAAAAATGAAAGGAAACAGTAGTTTGAAAAAATACGAATACAATAGAAGTCAGCTCATAGCTAAAATGATATTCGTTCATCATCAGTGGGATGTTCAACAAGATTTCATTTAGTGAAATTACATGAAAAAATTTCTTTTGTTGAAATTGGAAGAATAAAATGAAATAGTATGAGCTTAATAATTTTTCTTTAATGAAGAATCTCATTCTGTAGAAATCTATCTCAATAGTGAAATCTATGTAAAACATGAATACTACTTATGTCTAATAGTTGATTATCTTTTGTTGTTTCTTAAAAATCGAGTGAAGAAAATTCATAAATATAAATTTATGTCTGATTCTTAGTTCAAATGCAATTCTTACTATATCATAACAAAAAAAAATTGATCACAATACGAATCATTTTGGAAACGATTTTGTTTATAAAACAGATTAGAATTTCATAAGTTTATGATATTGAAAAAGAATATCTAAGTCTTTCACATTCAATTATTTTTCAATAATTGATTACATTTTATTTTTTGTTTGTCTCTTCAAGGTGAATGGAGACATCTATATGAAATATTGGCAAAAGCAACAAACTTCATGCATAAACAACACAAGGATTAATTTATATGTTTGCTTTTTGTTTTCTTTTTTTTGTCATTTGCTGATAGTAAACTTATACATATCGAATCAATGTTTCGCTAGTTTTAATAACTATCATATTGAGTCCTTTTATTTTCTCTCTAACTGTTTCCCTCTTATCAACTCATTTGGCATATGATTTTTTTCTATTAATCACATAAATCTTACTGGTTTCTTGGAGAACGATATTTCTGAGCTGAATGAACTTCACTGAATGAAATAGCTAATTTATTGAAAGTAGTTAACATAGATATCAATATGTTAGACTTCACTACAGTCAAGTGTCGACATTTTTTTTAGAAGATTGCAAAAAGCATAAAATAATATAAAAAACATGAAACTCCATATAAACTGCTTCTATTTTCATTACTTAATGTAGCAATTAAAAGATTGTTTTCATGCATGAGAGAATTTTATTTTATTTTATTTTGAAATGAATAATAATAAATGGAATCTTCGACGTTTTCAGTTTTTTAAAAATAGTTACCATCAGCATAATATATATGCCTGGAAATGCATAGTGTCAGTCTGTATTTTAAATATATCGTCACTATAAACATATGTTTAAAAAAAGAAACATAAATACGTATTCTGAAAGACTTTGAAGTTTTCTATTACCCTGTATATTTATGTTTTAGTTTTCGATTATATACAAGAAAATAAAAAGAGTACAATGAGGACTCCCATCATCACCAGATTTCGAAGAACTGAATTTTGTCACTGTTGTCTAAATTAGTTTTTAAAATTTTTTATCACAATAGAAATGTCTTTTTAAAACAGCAATTATATATATTGATAAAGGTTGATATTCTCTTTCATCCCATCTATTTATCTGTGTAATCACATTCATTTCTTGAAAACTAATTTGAATATAATGAAGAAGCTCTCAATTGACAAGTAACAAAAATATGCATTTTTTTGTTAGTTTTGTAGTTTTCTTTTTGACAGAATTATTCCTATAAGAAAATTTATTAAAAAAAAGTAATTATAGATTTTGATAGAGCTTGAAAGTTTCTATTATATATATTTTCCTATTATCTTGCATTTATATGCTGAAGAATAGTTCGAGTAATACGTAGATACCCTCCTTCACAAGCTGTAAAAAAAAAGTTGATTTTTTAAATATCTCTTTCAATTTTGTTTTCAAAGTTCAAGATAATTGAGCATATAAGGCAGCAACAAAAGACATAAATTACTTCTTGCAAAAGTTATATCTATTATAGTAATAAAGTTGAAATAAAAAATAAATTGTTACTGAAAAATTCAGATTTTTCAGAGTTTGTCAAGGAGAGCGCTCATCTAATATTCGAACTATTCTTCAATATATAAATGCAATGCAAGACAAAAATATATTGAATGATAGAGAATTTCAAGTTCTATTGGAACATGTGATTGCTTTTTTTAAAAGGTAATTCTATAATGATAAAAACTTTAAACAATTAATACTGACGACAGTGACAAAATCAAGGTTGTTGGAATCCGGACATGAGAATGTTTTCATTATACTCTTTTTATTTTCTCGTATATAAGCTGCAACTAAAAACATAAATATATAGGGTAGTAGAAAATTTCTGGGGCTTCCAGAATATGTAATTATGTTTGGTTTTTAAATATGTTTTTCTAGTGACGATATATTTAAAATACACACTGACACTATTCATTTTCGAGCATATATATGAAGAAAGGTTCATTCAGAAGTCAACAATAGTTAGATTAAAGAAGAGATATTATATAGAATGAGAACGTATTCATATGATATCTAAATTAATATCTTTGAATTCTTCATGTTTATTGATAATACGTACATATGTGGGACGAATATTCAAAAATGTTTTTATATACACTGTATGATTCCATCTTGACGGACAGAAATCTCTACTTTTACTTAATAATTATTTGCTTTTTTTCCTTCACTCACTTCTCACCTTTAATTCATAACTATTAGGAATGACTGATGGAGAAAATAAATTCCAATGAGTTTCTATACGTCTATTGATATTAATAAAAAACTTCAATGAAAAAACAAAATCAAGAAATGATGTAAATATATTTCTTAATAGTTTTTCGCAGCAGATTGTTACGAATATGGATAATTCAATTCCAATAAAAAGAAATAATTAAGAGACGGTCCACGAGAAAATCGAACATTTTTCAATAGGGTCATACTCTCGAAAATTTTGACCCCTATATTTTATGATTGGAAATGAAAGAGCAACATGAGAAACCTATAAATTCAAAATTTTAGCTCATTCTAGCTTACCGTTAAAAGGTGTGGGTGTGGATGTAGGCAATCATTCATACACCCACACACCCACACCAACACACACACCCTCACCCTATTCTCCACCTTTTCGAGTTTCAATGATTCCAAAAAATGCAGCTCGAGTTTCTTTGTCATTCTTCTTTTTTATTTTTGCACATCGTTTATTAAAAAGAAAAATTAATTAATAAACTTTTCGAACCATAGAGTCGAGAACTCGACGCATAAAATAGCTAAAAATAATTCCGATAATCGACATGATCAAAGGATTAAAAAGCCTCAAATATCGTCTAATTATTGCTAACGGTTGAGCTTCTTCCATCTTGAATTCTTCTTTAGCTTTTTTATACACACGTGCATATAGTTCGTAATGTTCGTATTTGCATCTGTTTGTATCATCATTGTATTTGCATTTACCTCGTACATGATACGTACAAATATCATTCGGTAAACCAATTAAGGGACAGTCACTGCCCTTTAGACAGTTTTTGTTCTGATCTTCACACGGATGAGTTAATTTGAGCACCTTTTTAAATTCATCTTTTACATGTTTATCGAGTCGTTTATTATAATCGTCAGTTGGAATAATTTTCATAGTAAATTATGTAAAATCGTAGTATACAGTAAGATTTGATGTATCTGAATAGTAAAACATAATAATATATGAATGTTTATAATTTAGTACAAACATATGAAACGAAAGAAGAAAAAAATCAAGTATGATTCGTTTGAAAGATGTGGCATAAATTTATTCTGAATAAATCGTTATATCTATTGTCACGTTCCATTCTTCGTGCAAAAAGTTTTCATGTCATTGATGTTGTCTTGCTAATTCTATAGATAAGAAAACAGATTGAAAACGGCTCTTAACTTATGACATCATTTGTTGACATGTGACATCCACATGTATATGTTCGAGATAATTTTATATAAGAGAAAAAAAATCAAGGATGATCGATATGGAACGATCACTCTTGGTTAATAAAAACGACTCCATCATATTTCATTATTTTTTTATCGCAAAAGAATAAAGTTGAAATTTTTGGATGGTAATTCTGTCTTCATGAGATAGTAAGATAAGATAACAAGCTGAATGATGGGTGTATACATATCAGTACTTTTCTTTTTGTTCGTTCCTCTCTTGCTCTTGAAGGTGGTTGGGTGGGAATAAAGGTGGATATAAAGAAGATTCTGATCCTATCCATATCCATCCGCCCATTCACCTTAGTGTTTGACTTAGAGAATGAATTACTGGAGCCTTGGAAATGGTGCAATAAAGTGAATGTCTAACTTGATAAATGTATATAACTAAATTTTCCCTTTGATCATATGTATGTTTAAAAACAATATTTGCAGCTCCAGTAAGATCTCTTCTCGTCCACTCTTCAAATATTTGTTAGTATTGCACTAGTCAATAAATTGTTTTACCTCTGTTCTGCTACATATGAAGATATGATAAAAATGAAGAAGGATGCTTTTTCTTTCTTTGTCTAGCAGTCGTTCGTATTGAATTTAGTAGTAAATCGAAATGTTTATGAGTCATATTAGTATGATGAAATTTTAATGTTGACAACGCTAAAATCGCCTGATTTTTCTTTCACCGATTCTTCAGTTGTAACCGATTGAAATAGTATAAGGAGAAAAAACTCCACATGCCTTTTTTTCTCTTGTTGTTCTTAATAATCACATTTATTTTCTGTGGTGACATAAGCAATATTTACTGTTTCAACTCTCGTAAGCAGTACTCTTTTTCTTTTTCGTTCTTTATAAAAGACATGTTTTTTACTTGTTACGTAAACGTCTGATATAAATACGCATAATCTGAAAGAATAACTAATGTCAGTGTATTATGGCTGGAATATCAAACGATACAAATATTTTTATTCAAGAAACGTTAACAACAAAAAAAGATCGACAATATTTTCTGTTACTTGTCTCGCCTTTAGCCTGGTTCAAATGTTGTGCGTTAATCTTCTGTCGAACTCGAGCACGAACACGTTCAAATGCTCTTCTTCAATATTCAATTTTTCTACTGGTAGTTCTTCTCATGATATGCTCATGCTACCTCTTCTATGCAGTGACAGCTGATGCTGGTCAATATAATCTCTATCTGTCTAACGTTGCTTCAAATAAATCATCGATCATTGATGGTAGACGTCAATTCGATGATCTTATTTGGCGTACTGTAATCAAGACATTTTTTCTTGGTCTGATTTTCGGTCTCATTCAAGCATGTAATGTTTTCCTAGCTGCTCAATGGCGTCAACGATTATGTGATCGTTTTCGAGAGTTATTATTTAGATCACCTAATGGATGTGTATTGTATGAAACATCACAGATAGACGAGGATATCCCTAAAGTAATTACGAACGATGTGAAATTGTTTACAAGCAATTTTGCCACTCTACTTTTTGGTTCGATGTTTTTTACGGGTATTATCTCTGTGGTTGCTGTGATTATTATTGCTTGTGTATTTCTCGTTCGTGCTACGAATGGAGATACAAGTGGTATTCTTATTTGTTTTGGTGCATTTATCTTTTGTGTACTGATTATATTACCAAGTACACAGATGTACAATTGGAACTTGATCAAACAAGTAAGATTAGATTGTTTTTAAGAAAAATTTTCGAAGAAAATTTTTCGTAGAATCAAAATGTTACAGGAGCATACTATTGGAACAAAAATTTCTATTTTTATAGTCAAAAATAAAGGGTTGTCTTCATGGATATATGCAACGTATTCAAACAAATGCCGACTGTATTATCCTCTACGCTAGTCAACGAGTGGAACTTGAATATATTGAACGATTCATCTTAAACATGCGTAATTCCATGTTGATTGGATCTATTAGTTTTGCATTGATTAATTTTCCCATACAGTTGTTAAGTAAGTTAATCAAAATGTCTCTTAGATATAATGTAAGTGAGATTAATGAACCTTTTTTTCAGGTGCACTAAATGGAATCTGTACATATATTATGCCTGCTGTGGTGTTCTTCTTCATTCGACAAACACAAAGTCCGGAACTAGCACAAACATACTTGAGTAAGAAGAGAACATGGATAAAAATCAAGAATTTCATTTAAATTTTGTTATTCAATAGCTGTCATTCCACTTTATTCCTTCTTAATCACTGTTCTCAGTCAGTTCTTACTGATTATGGAACCAGCGTTGGTGACCATCACGATGGGTGACCATTTGTGGATGATGATTAATCATTTGGAAAAATTGACCAAGTATCATCAGAAGCGCATTGCATATGAACGAGAGAGTGGCATCAGGCAACACAACAGAGATATGCTTGTTATTCATCATTTGGATATCTCCGTATTGCGTAAGAGTTTTTTTTAATATAAACAAATCTGTAAAGATTTCTTTGGAAATTTAGATGCTGTAAATGCTCCATTATTACAGAGTGATGTGAACTTGGAGGCTGCACATGGTCAATGTATTCTCATTTCTGGGCCAAGCGGATGCGGAAAAACATCGCTATTCCGTATTTGCGCAGGACTTTGGCCAGCCAATGCGAAACAGCTGATATTGCCAGAACGGTCGCATCTCATCTTCATTCCTCAACGACCTTATCTACCTCGCGGTAGTTTACGTTTTCAAGTTCTTCTTCTACTAAAAGAACACAATCATATCATTGATCAAGATATCTATCAACTGTTTCAAGTAGTAAATCTACTATATTTACTCCAAAGATATACACTTGATACAGTAGGTGGTAATCAGATTTGTTGCTAGATTAATCAACATATACATTTCTTTGAAAGATTATTGACTGGCCTACAGTTTTATCAGTTGGTGAACAACAACGCTTATCTTTCATTCGCTTACTAGCATTCTTTACTTTGACACCGAACAACGACCAACTCATACGAAAGACTCTGGTTCTATTCGATGAAGCTACAAGCGCTATCGATGTAACGACGGAGCATGAGATTTATGCACGTCTGATTCAATTGCGTGTGTGGTTTGTGACGATCTCTCATCGATCATCACTTGTTCATTTACATGCAAAATCATTACATTTCTTCTCCAATAAAGATCGACAACAATCAATAGAACAAACACAAACTGAATGTCAAGTGTTGACACTTAATGATGGTGATGATGAAAAGAAATTAGAAGAAAACGAAAATAATGAGATTGAAGCAATAGACATCAAATATTGTCAAGTAAACTTTTTATTCTTATATTTATCGACAACTTTTGCGGAACTTTCTAAAATTCTCTGCAGATAGCATTTCTTCCTTCATAGCTTATTTATTGTTTATTAAATTATGATTTAGATCGACAGTGAATCACGAAAAAATGATGATATATCAAATGTGAACGAGAAAGATATTTCTAAATGGCGACTGATATTGAATATATTAAAATTCATTCATTTACCATTCCAAGCTAATGATAAAATGCTAAAATTGCAAGTAAGAAATCAGACTGCCACAAAGAATTCAACTTCTTTTTCTCGCAGACAATCGTTGCTTGGTTACTGACACTTGGTGTACTTGGTGCCAGTACCTGGTCAACATATAAATTTACTAAGCAAACTGCGTCATTATACAGTGTCTTATCTGATTACGGTAGTGGATCTATTTCCCTTGTTCAAGCGAAAGAATCGATCAAATCGAACATTGTCAACTATGTCATTCTCATGGTAGCAACTCCTACACTATTTTCTCTTACTGTTGGTGGTGGTCAACTGTTAGCTACACTTTATACACGCAGACAAATGGTTTTTCTTGCACGTTTACTCTTAGATAGATCCTTCGAAGAGTATGAAAATAATCTGTTGTATCATAGTAGACATATGACAGCAGTACCAAATATACTTTCACATGATATTGCTGAATTGAACAGTCAAGTCTTTCATTTCATTTTCGGTCATATATATTATACGGGTATTATAGGTGAGAGTGTATTGCAGTTATATCTGATTTAACACATGCATCATCATCATCATCATCATCATTTTTATAGGTCAAATTATCCTGGCCATCATTCTTGCTGTTCTTCTCGGGCAACAAAATGGTGGATCGATTGGAGTACTTATTGTTTACTCATTCGTACTTGGTTTCTTTATTTTTATCAATTTACTTTCTGCTTCGTTGAACAAATGGAATCGAATTGATGAAGCAAACTTTGCTCAGTTTGTAGCTGCACACAAAAGAATAGATCTTCAGGCCGAGCAGATTGCATTCTCTGGAGAAGACGTATATAAAGTGGAGGAAGGCGAACTTCGACATCAATTAGATGCATCGGTTCACTCTCAAATACATGCCGGTTTTTTCTACTCTATTATTGTAGGTGTTGTCAGATTATCTATCGTCAATACTTATCTCGTTAATTATGGTATACCAGCGGCAATCTTCTTTCACACTTGGTACTCTCAAGGATTAGCAGATCCAACAATAGCAAATTCATTTATTACTTTAAGCGTGTATATGTACAATCTCTTCTCTTCATGGAATTATATAAATTATTTTGGTGATCCTCTCACACATATTCAATCTATTGGAATACGTATTGTCGGCTACGTTGGTAAGTGAATATTTCAGTATTATGGAATAGATCTTAAAATATCGTATCAAATTTCGAGTGATGTCATTGAAAAATAGGAATGAAGTATAAATTATTCTCATTTCAGAACGTCTTCGCCAGATAAACGAACATCATCGTCGACTCGCCATTGATGAACGAGAACGTAGACGACGTCAGTATATTCAATCGAAACTGGACGAACCATCCATCATCCTCGAGCATGTGGACATACGTATTCCTCAATCCTCGCATCTACTGATATCGGATGTCAATCTGCGATTATCGTCCTCCGATAATCTCATCATTACAGGTCCATCTGGCTGTGGTAAATCCACACTACTTAGTCTTCTTGCTGGTCTTATTCTCAACGAAACTAACAACGATTCAGTATTGCGTATTCTTCCACGTCAAAACACGATTTTTCTCTGTCAACAATTATACTTGATCAAGGGTACATTGAGAGAGCAACTGTCCTATCTTCGAAAAGTATGAAAATTATTTTCGATAGAAATAGTCAGATCGAGAAAGATTGACTTCTAGGCACATGGACTTGGCCCAATCACTGATGACATTCGAGCTCAACAACTTCTCAATGAACTTGGTCTAAGTCACCTTATCGATTGTTATTTAATGGATGGAGAACCACAAAATTGGTCACAACTTCTATCTATCGGAGAACAACAAAGACTAATGATGGTCACTGCATTTCTTGTCGGTATAGAGACTATACGATTGTTCGTTCTTGATGAAACAACATCGGGTTGTGATAAGCAAACAGAAGAAGCGATCTATAGATATCTTCAACGATCGCATGTACAATTTTTATCTGTATCGCATCGAAAAGAAATTGAGAAGTATCATTCATGCAAGATGACGATTGATGCCAATAGACATCGGTATTTTTTTGTTCGAGAAGAAAGGTGAGGGTGAGATTGAAGAGAAAATCATCATCATCACTCACAAAATATAAAATCAAATAGAATTAAATAACCGCTTTCATTTGTAAGAAAAAGAAGAAACGAACATTACATATCCATTCATTTGCTGTACACGTCTTGGTAATCTTTCGAGAAACCAAAATTTGGTCGGAGAGAAAAAAGTCAGGATTGATTTTATTGATAACAACACCTATTTCAGCATTTCGAGTTTCTTTTTCACTAAAGTTTATGATTCATTTGAAGATTAACACAACACATACAGAGACCTAGGAAAATTTTTTTCAATAGTAATGCGCTCATGAAATATGCTGTTATTTCTTTTGGTCGTTAGTCGACCGTTTACTTACTCTCGATCTGTGTTTTCTCCCTTCTGTTCTGCGGAACTATATGTAATCGAATGTGATTATCAGAATGGCAATTAGCTTGCCGACAAAATTAACGAGAAAATGTTAATACTATTCGGTATCGGTGTGGGTGAACATGAATAGAAGAACCACACTCACACCATCATTGACTTAATATATAGATTCCGCAAAATGATTAACGAATACAAACGATTTTCTGTCCCATTCGAAGTGAATGGAAAATCCTACGTTAGCTTTCGATGGCAATCTAATACAAAACAGTCATCCGATCCCATAGAGAGCACAATTAGCGAAAAAATGAACGATTTTGCTGAATCAATTGAAAAACTAAAACAAAAATGCCGTCGTCTTGATTACATTTATCAATCAAAGGAACAATCAATGCTGGACATTGTATTGCGGCTAAAAATGAATATCTTACATTAGAACAAAATTCTGGATTCTTTTTAGCCTCTAACCGATATCGCTCAAGTCGTCGAGGAATTCCCTAGCATCATGATTTCGTTTGTGATACATTCTGGTCAAATGTACTCGAAAAATTTATCATTATTACCATAACAAATATTCATATTCTCATTGTTAAGTGTGACAATATGACCATAGGAACACTTCTAATTGATGATAAATGTGAGAAATGCGCACTACACCTACACCCACACTCTAATGTTTCTTTTGAATCCCGTTTTATGTATTTCCAAATGAGACAACTTATGAGTCTTTCCGCTTTGTATGGATGAGTGCAGAAGCATGTACAGTGATACAAATCTTGCAGTGACAATAGGTTGGTAATTTGGATTTTATTCTATCTTCGCTGATTCGACACGATCTCACTGTGGTAAAACACGGTCCGAACATCAGCTATCAATTCTCTTTTTCTATCGAGATAAAATATCGATCAATTGAATATTAGTTAGCGGAGAATGTTTCTATAGATCTGCGTTTATCATTTTGCCCAGCACATGGTTTGTCTTGTGCTTTCATTCACAAACATCTCTGAAAGAGCTCGACGAGAGTTGCCTTATCTACACCTCATCATTTTTCTTATCTTGTTTTTATCCATATCGACACCTTCAAAACAAGCAAATATTTGACGAACATCAAAGTTACGTTTGTTTACTATCGTATACTTGGCGAAGTTCTATATAAACGAACACACTTTTGTTTGTTTCTTTCAAATTACTTACACTAGTCTGTCGATCACTTCGTCGTACTCGAAGTTTCTGAGCGTTGTGAAAGCAAGAAAAAACAGAATCAATCAAGTGTAGCAATTCAGGTTAGCCATAAAATGTAAGACATTTTCACAATCGACCGTGCTCGGACATACTATGTCCAAGTCAACCAGAAACTGAGATGCACCATCAATAACTACTAGATACCCACTTGTAGCTAATGGTAAAACTTTATGATATCATAATAAGATTTAAATGGAAAAAAGTGTAAACGAAAGACTCATCATACTCATCATCGCTGGAAAAAAAATAGCGAGCTAGTACTTGCTAAAAGATATTCTAATGATTCTCCATATTCGCCTTACACAAACGAACCAATATTAAAAACAGGGTCATATTCTATTTGAAGCAAAAGGTAGCTCGCGAAAATATTAGTTTGATGCTTGTTTGTTGAGCATCGCTATCTTATTTTTAAAGAGAGACTTCGCCAGACCATCGACCAAACTGTTCGGAACTGAGTTTCAGATTTTGATCTATTATATTTCGTTCAAAAGATCCTAGTGTGTGCATACAAAACTGAAAATATCAGGTCTCAGTTGGATATCATCTTGAGATATAGGCGATGCAGTATTGATCACTCTTGTCGACTCATCAAAACTACACTATTTTCGTAGTTTTTTTTTGTGCACCTTATTTCTTTACTAAAGTTTGAGAGAAACTACAACATTTGTATACCATTGAATAGCGCGTCTCAAGCTCTACAAAACTCTATGTTGCGGATGTGGATGTGGTCGTGGGTGCAAGTGTGGGTGTAGGTGTGGATGGACAGACGACTGATACCCACATTCACATCCACACTGACGCCCACATTCACATCCACACTGACGCCCACATTCACACCCACACCTATACCCCACAGTCACACCCACACCGACACTCCACACCCATATCCTTTGTACACTCTAGACTTTTTATGGGCACTTTACCATACATCTTCATTTTACGACCTGAGCTGTATGCGACACAATTCTTCTGCGGTAGATACGACGTATTTTCTTCGCCGAATCAGCGATACAAAATTTTGCGACACATTTTCATTACTGATTCTGCAATGCCAGAGTGCGATGGAGATAGTATAGAGTATATCGCAGTGATTTTTATTATGACACATTCTTAGTTCGTTGTTTTAAGCAATTTGTCATAATTAATTTTATCTGATATGAATCAGTTTAAATCATGAGCTGAGAACGTACCACGACAAAAACCCAAATGATACAGGAATCAGAAGACTTTTTAAAAAGAAATAGAAAAAGTCAAAAGTTAGAAAAATAGTATGCAAATGTCATAGTTCAATTAAGTTATTTTCTAAAGATCAAAAAACCTATATTTCCTGAGTACACCATACCGTTTTGTGCAAAATTGTACGGCGAATCTTCTGAAAAAAATTAAAGCGTGAACGATGAAAATTGACCGTGGTATCGTCGAAATACTGGCACCGCTATTTTTATGAAATACCTGTTACCACAATCAGAAGGATGCTGATACGAAGACTAGGATGAGAACTCTATTGATAGGATGGTTTTTCTGAACAATTCATTTCGGTAGACATTCTTCTTGTTAAGGGTACGCTATCATCATCAGCAACTTCCTAGGTTCTCCATAGATCCAGTAAGTATTATCAAAACTATCATCTATGTCGCTCGAAAAATTGAGACGACGACCCACGCTGTAAAGGAAAACAAGCAAGAATGTCAACGACTTGAGAGACGTATCATAGCTATAGTTGATATGCTCAAACAGTTTATAACCAAAGCCAATGGTCTCAGACGGTCCGAACTAAGTTCGGCGTTAAAGAATTTCCTTTCATGCATTGAAAAATGTTACAACTTCATTCGTCAGTTTGCCGATGCCAACCTGTTCATGAGGGCGTTCAAAAACACAGAACACAGGGAATAATTTATCGATCTTAATAGACGTCTTTCAGATTGTGCCATTGATCTCAATTTAGACTTAGTTGTCGATAATATATTTGATGGCCGCGAGGCTGAAAAAAAATCAACTGAACGATCGAGTAAATATTGCGAACAAGGTTTGATCAAATACTGAGAAATTGAGAACAGTAATGAGTTTTGTCCTACAGGGCGGTCGCGTTGAACAATTGATAAGACAATGGGAACAACGGCAACGACTGATTGAGCCAATCCCCAGATCGTTCGAATCTAAACATCCGCGTGAAATGAAGCCAAAGCCGAAGCCGCCAGAAGTCACTTTCATGGCAGATAATCCAAGAAATGGTATGTAATGAGCGTTTTTAGGCTCAGTTTAGAAAACTATACTTCACTAACATAGCCGAGTAAGTAGAAGTTTTCACTTACGTAAGACCCTCAATGCTTTTTTCATTGACTCTTTTAAAGATAAAGAAGAAAAGGAATGCCTAGAACGTTATTCTAGAATTAGGCTCTGAAATGAATTTTTCAAGGGTATGGGTATGGGTGTGGGTGCTAGCAGTGTTTCAATAGCCACACGCTACCCATAGCAAAATTCACACAAACATCTACACCTACAGCCACATCCACCCACACCCTACGCTCTCACTGACACCCGGAGCGGGTTTCGGGTTCCTAGGAACGGAAATCCACATGAGGTCTCGAGTTCCCAGGTATGGAACCCGAAACTGATACCCCTAGTAGCATCCAGTATTTTTACTGCTACAAAAAAACTGGCAAATGCTTATTTTAAAAAGATCATATCAATGAAATCTACACAAAGGGTGTGGATGTGGCTATGGATGAACGGAACACTAACATTCACACCTCCACCGACATGCATGCCCACACCCTCTTTGTCTTTTGGCATCACAGCAAAACTTTCTGATCCAGTGTAGCTTGAGAAGCAGCCTTTTGAAAGTCGCGGCATTTTCTCTACTCAATTCGTTATCATCGCAAGTAGAAATAAAAATTCGTAAGCAAATAACAATCATATTATTTCCTCACCCTTAGAAAACGATATCTGTTGAAACTGAAATGCACTGAGAAGAACAGAGAATTCCTTTGTTCTATTCCTTCTTAATATGCATGACTTTATGTCGGATGAAGCATTTCTTTATAAAGAAGAATAGCTTTTCCATGGATAAGTTCTCTTGTCCACTGCTAAGGCATTATAGAGTGTTAAAGATATCTGGATACGATATGCTGACAACTTCCATTGGAGTGGCGAACTCTTCATTGGACGACTTCTATAAAGTTTATCATGTTTCTCTTAGCGCACCTCTTATGAAGTCATCACCTGTGTTCTATACGATTTTTTTCGGCTATCTGGTATCTCTATTTAGAATATCGAGTATTTCCTGTACGCGACACGTGCGCAAGACTTTATAGAAGCTATCTATTTCAGTGATCATTGGTGAACAAAAAAAAACTTGAGACGTTTGCTCCCGACTGAATAGAGTAGATGAACGCTACTTTTGCCATGATCAGTCATATACTCCATAATTTGTCCATAACTACTTATAATAGAATCTGTATTTGAAGGAAGAAAAATAACTGAACCGAGTGTAAAGGTCATTCTACTTATTCGCTTTCCCTGTGAACTATGATCTGCTGAAGAACTTCTAAGTTTCACTAACAAAAAAAGTGATAAGCGAATTTCAGCGTTCTACGGATTATTTGTGTGTTATGCAAATTTGAATTATTAACCGAACTCCAACGATTTATTTTGGAGCAGGCAAAATTATGCAATAGAACGTTTGTTGGAACTGCTATAAGTGTCGTTATGATTATTCATTTTTAATATGATCTCGAGTCAATAGAAGACTTTCATATTTAAATTCTAGAGTCAAAGAAATATAAGCGAACAGAACTTTGATTCAATTGATTTATTGGATATGTTATCTTCTTCATGTGTAACAATGCAATAATTTTGCTTTCAAATAATTGACATATATATGAATATGATCATTGGCATTTTTGGAATCATTCATGTGTCATGTAAAAATATCAATGAACTATCTGATTGAAATATGCATACTATTGTAGATAAAATAAGTCAACAGAATCGGATGCTGATGATGATTATTCACTTGATTAATGACTCACAAAACGTTGACTATTTTCGAGTCATTGACTTCATGCCAGTAAAATAGATGAACCAAAACTTCAGAGCACATGGGAAATGGTCATGAATTTGATATGTGATCTTCATTCTTGACCAGAAAGTAGCGTGTCGTTGGTAAGCATCCAAAATTAATGAACAACACTAGTGGCTCTTGATCATTTGTTTTTCATGTGATTGCTAGTCGTCTTCATCACTCAAATACTACACAT